CTTAGGGCAGGTGCCTGGAAAGCCAGGGAGATCACAGCAAGCTGCGGCTGCTGCTGTTAGAGGGGCTGCTGCAGAGGTTGGCTTCACTGCGGGGATCGGCTGCCAGGCACTGAGAAGCCTTGAGCCAGCTCCATCTGCACATTGCTATACGTTAGTTATTCACAAGTTTCTTTCTGCAGCCTTTTCCATTGCAGCTGAGACAGGATTTTGCTGTAGGCAGTTGGTGAGGTAGGACTTGCTGGTAAAATCAGACCTAATGCTTGAACTAGCTATTAAATACTGCTCCTCACTGCTCCTGCCCTCTCTTCAAAGAGCCACACTGTCTTGCTTGGAGGCAAGGCTTCCCTCACATTGCGTGTCATATAAGGTCAGACCCCAATGCTGGCCTTGCCTCATATTCCTTCCCATCCCTATTTCCAGAACTAGTTCATAATTCTTTAACTGTATAAAACTGACAAAAGGTAGTTTAGTTAATGTGTTAGTGGCCTCAGGTTTCCCTTAATAGTTTAAAAAATGAAGGACTTACTTAAAGTTTTAAGTCAAAGTATCTGTATTTTTCAGAGTTGCAATAGAAACATATATGGTGGCTATGAATACAAACTTTAGTATTGCTGGCTTAGTAGAGATTTAAGTGATTGAACCATGCATGAATCATAGGGCATAATGTGCCAAGAACAGCTGATTTGAATTTAATTTAAATTCCTTTTCTAATACAAGTTTTCATAAAAACAGTTCTAGAGTTCCTTCTGTGATTCATAAAGCTTTTCTTATGAAATATTTTACAACTCTTTTTGTAACCTCCTGTCCAGTATTGAAAATTATAGACATGATTTGCACTTACACTAGGGACTTCTTTACACTGTTCAAGTAGGAACTTGTTAAATATAAGCATGCTTTCTACTCTTTCTCTGGTATAAAGTGATTTTTATCTAAATGAGAACCGGACCCATCATATATATTCATACACACTGCAACTGACTCCCCCAGGTTTTTTTCTAACATGAGAGGATTTTGGTTTATGGATAACTGAGGATCTCAAAAGCATTTCCAAATCATTTGAACTTGGCTAGCTAATGTTGGGCTGGTTCATGATGGCAGCTTTTTAACAGTGGGGAGCCTTAAAATACTGAGAAGAGCAATATGATGCTGCATTCAGATAGAAGATAATAATTTGGTATGTCACAGACACATTGGGTCATTCTCCCATACTTAATTAGTAGATTTGTGAGCAAAGACAATACCTCACATATATTCCAAAATAAAAAGAGAATGTTGCTTTTAATTGTTCCCTTTTCAAAAACAAAGCATACTAGAAGTGGACTGCATTTTACAAGATTCATAAAATCTTGTAAAATAAAACTGTTAACTGCAAAAGAATACTGGAGTATAAAACTGTTCCATATTTAAGAAGTGTTCCCTGTTAATGAGAAGCATTTTTCAGAAAGTGAGTAATTCAATAACTTTGTATTGTCAAACATTCTTTAATTAAACTGATTAAAAATATTATGATAGTTATGTTGCTATATGTTTAATGAAGAAAAATGTTAGATATGCAATGGTATAAGCTATTATTAGCAATGGAAAATAGGAAGCTCAAGAGAAATTTTAAATAATAATAAGCAATATCATTAGGGAAATGACACCTGGAAAAAAAATAGTTTTATCTGTCATGACCTCCATAAAAGCTGATTTGCTTCTAGATGCTGAATAACAGAGGGATGAAAAACTGCAGCAGGCTAATAAGAGATTGATTAGTCAAAAAAAAAATTATTGCATATTTTTGGAGGAATCCTTGAATCTCTTTAAAAGGAAATAGTAAAGCCAGGTTAGAACTTTTAGTCTGTTCAAGGTAAATCACAGGACCTATAATGCTTTACCGGCTCAAGCAGATACAATCTGCTAAAGAAAATCTCTAGGCCATCTTTCAATTACTGTAAAACATCTACAGACTACATCTCTGAGTAACAAACCCAATCTCTTTTCACCATCATTAACACAGCACTCTTCCATTCACCTCTGAAATAATTGAAAAGGGTTTAAAAATGCCATTTGACCATAGCATAAACTGTTGGGAAAGTCATAAAGGGCGGGAAAGTTCAGAACCACTGACCCTATGCTGCTCAAGGGCCGAGAGCACGTGTCCTGCGAAGAGAGGTTGAGGGACTGGAGCTTGTTTAGTCAGATGAAGAGGAGGTTAATACTTGCCAACTTGAAGAGCAGTTGCAAATGTGCCACGGAGCCAAATTCTTCTAGGTAGACAACACAACAAAGATCAGAGGCCACAAACTGTGGCTTGGGAGGTTCAGGCTGGATGTCAGGAAACGGCTTCCCCTTGGAGGTTAGTTTAGCCCTGGGAGGAAACCCAGAGAGGTGGAGAAATCTCCATCCTTAGAGGCTTTCTAGACTTGTCTAGACAAACCATGACCGACCTCATCACATGTTGCCAATAGCAAAAGGCTGCACAAGGTGAGCCCCGGAGGTCCCTTCCAGCCAACATTTCTATGATAATACCCTGCTGTCATTTCAATGGTGCTTAAGTGGAAAGTATGCGAGGGTCAGCATGAGCACTTTACATTTAAACAGATTAAATATGTGATTGTTACTTGTTCATATTGTATGGTGCCTAATGGTCTCAGCAATGAAGCAGCATCCCTGCTGCTCTACACACACAGTCATGCTCTATGTCTTCACCCTATGTTCTCTTAAGTTATAATAGTAACTGCTGTCATCTAACTGCAGTGTTTTTTATCCCTGATAGACCCTTACTCTGAAGCCACCCATTTAGCCAAACTAAATGTGTACTGGGTAGGAGCAGTATTATTGTATGAAAAGTCTGCTACTGGAAATAAACTATAGATTACTGTTTCTAATTTTATAATGAGTAAATTCTGGTGAAATAAAGGAAAAATTCTTCTCCAAATTTAAGTGTCCCAGCGTCTTAGTACAAAGAATATAGAAGGTTCCCTCTTGAGAAGAGCTACATAGAGATAGAAGAGCATATGATGATATTTTCATACTCCATTCCTAATAGAGCAGCTTACAGAAAGATTTCTTTCTTGACCTATGCTTGATGGTAAGCAAAGGAGTCATTTTGTGGAAGCACATGTATATTTATAATTAGAATTGTGCTTAAGTACTTTGCTGAATCCAGATTCTTTACATATGTATTAACAGTTTGTAAGAAATTAATTCTTCTCCTAATGTTTATCTTTGGGGCTTAAGTTGGATATTTATCAGCTGCCCCCAAGTAAATTTACTGCACTTTCTCTTCATTATAAAGCAGGTAACCTTTATATAAGTAATTTCTGTCTTTGTTTTCTGTGCACTTTTCTTATTGAGAAGTTTTCAATAGCTCATAAATTTGCTATGAAAGAACATACTGCTAATCCACTGGTGATGCTCTTTCACTTTCTATGAATGTCAGATTAGAAGATACTGATTGTTAATGAGTTCAAGTAGAGATTTAGAGTTGAAACAGTGGATTGTAAGTTTACATTGCCTTCCCTATCTTTTTTTTATCAAGCTATCAAAGTGAAAATTATCGCTATGTAGTTTCTATTGCTGTGGCTATATAGCCTTTGTATAGGGTCTTACAGAATGTTGAGAGGAAACATGGTCTGATTGTACTTTAACAATTAATCAAAGGTTTTATGCTCAGCTCTGCTGATATTTTGATTTTTCTATTTTCTGAATGAAATCCTTGCACCATTGAAATCAGTGAATCATAAGAACTGATTGCAAGAAAGCAAGGATTTTACTTCTCTGCCTTAGTTTCTCCATTCATAAATTCAGCTATTTGTTCTCAACCATCACTCCAGCAGGCTGTAAAGTTTGATAAACTGCTTGAAGATCCTGTGGTGATACAAGATGGCTAAACCATCAACTTCTACAAAATTGAATTTTTAGGTTTCTTTTAGAGTTCCTATCCTCCATGCTTATGCAGGTCACTTTAAAATGCAAAGTAATGCAAGTCAAGATACATTTGCTACAAAATTGTCTGAATTTTCTGACATACTGTTGCATGGCTTAGCAATGGCAGAATCTGCAGGATTTACCTCCTTAACTGTTGTTCTCTGGAGCCCTGTTGGGTGATGAAACTGTTGTTTTCAGGGAGCAGCTTCTAAAAACTTTTGTAGGTAGTTATCAGGCCTGCCTTAGAGTTTTCCTAATAAGGAAATAAGACTTAATTCCTGGTGCTGAACTCAATATGTTCTGACTGTGTACTAACTGCATCATGTCAACCTAACAGTTCTTCAGAATTGCATCAAAGCACAACGTAATTTTGCAATGTTAGAAAGCCCTTACTAACATAACTGTAGATAGGCTTCACGTATTTCAGCTATAATGCAAAGTGCTTTTCAGAAGCAATTAAACAATTGAAGTAAAGGCTAGCCCAACAGTATTAGAAACAAATTTACCATTTGTAAGGTTTTTTTGTCATAAGCCTTTGTTGTTGGGGAAATAGTCTCGGGTTATCAATGGGTGAATGACAAATCTATCTGTAACTATTTTAAAGCTGATCTCTTTCTAAGAGTTAAGGATTACTTGCTGGTAAAGTTTGGGAAAGGCATATAAAACAAATAAGGTTCTTAAAACTTGACTCGAGTATGACTTGTTGTGGTACATCTGTCTCTGCCTTGAGCTGCATGCATTTCAATACCCACAGGTTTGTTGGCTGGTCATAACTGTGCGTAATTGGATTTTACAACAGTACCTGTTATAGCTTTCATATTAATGACCTGTGTTTTAAAGAATACTTATGCTTGAGTAGTTGAGTTTGCAAAAGGAAAACTACCTGCATATTTAATTAATTGCCTGCTTATTAATTGTAATTGAGTCAGTTAAACCTTACTTTCAGTAAGAAGGTTCAAAAGATGAAATGGTTCTGTTTATCAAATAAAATGGAATTGTATGGATTGATTTCAAAATTTATTTTAAAACTATTTTCATAATAATTTTCCTAATTTTCGCCACATAAATTCCTCTTTTTTTTATTCCAGAATCGAATGGAAGAAAGCAAAGCACTCTTTAGGACAATTATCACATATCCATGGTTCCAGAATTCTTCAGTCATTCTGTTCTTAAATAAAAAAGATCTCTTAGAGGAGAAAATTATGTACTCCCATCTAGTTGATTATTTCCCAGAGTATGATGGTAAGTATATTGCCACCAGAGCTCATACTTCATTTACACTGCTGTAATGACAAAATGTAATAGCCTTGTCCAAATGGTAGACAGACAGATCCTTCAGTATATTTTGCTTAAAACAAAAAAAAGTGTTTTGCTCATATTACGCTTAGAGATTCTTAGAGCAAAGATTATCACCCATTGTTTGAATATTCATTTCAAAGATGTACTTAGTACATCAAATAGTTTGTAGTTGAGTGGTTTGCTGGTCATTTTAAAAAATAAATTATATGAAAAGGAAAAAAATCAAAAATAGCAATTTTTAATAATCCAAATTTTAAAAACGTGACTGGTCTTGTGGGATTTTTTTAGATTACTAGGATTTCACTTTATACCTTTATTAATTGTGAATGGGATGGCAGTACCTTTCATGTAAAACTGTTGAACCTAGATAATATCATACTAGCAATGGACCACATTTTATCTTTGTTCATAAGTTGGACTTGATAAAAATAATTAAAACCAGGGGTGAGATTTTGAATTGAAGTATAAAAGCTAAAAATAAATAAAAATGCACTTCTCATTTTTACACATTGTCTTACATGCTCTTATTTTTTCTTGAGATTTTGTTTTGTGGCTGGAAAGCTGAAAAGAAGTGTCATAAGTTCTCTGTGGCCCTCAGAGAAACCAGTATCACTCCTCCCACCCTTTCATTATACCATTTTTATTTTATTTCCTTTATTTTAATTTTGTCACTTATGTGAAGTTTAATGTGTTTGTCCCAGAAAGCATTATGTGGATCACATAGCTGTTTCTAAGGAAATTGTACTTTCAGAAAGTTCTCCTGAGGTGAAATGTTAAGTATTTTAAAGTAACTGAGTGGAGGCTGTGGTAACAGAGAGAGAAAAATCTTAAATTCAAATAATAAGAGGATTGAAGGACTAAATACCCCTAAATACATCTGTTTTTAAAAAAATAAAATCTCTTCTGTCCCACCAGGGGGTGAGCAGCAGATTTGAAAGCTGCAGAAAAGATTAAATCTCTGATTTTCAAAAATGGAGAGTAATGATAGAAAAAGTTACAGCTTTTTTCCTGTTTGAGAGGAAGGAATCTGTTCACAGTGAACAGCCCGCAGGATCAGACCATACTTATTTATCCATCAGTGTGAATTTAGTTTGACAGTGCTATACAAAAGACAACTGGGGACAGATTTGGGGAACTGATCAGAATTAGGTATTTTTCAGCCGCATTGCTTCTCTCTTGCGGTTTCCTGTATGGTAGCACAATGGAGAGTGTAGCATGGGGATGAGAACCACTAGCCAGGGATGGCAAATTGGACAAATTAAACAAAGTGGCTCTGCTGCACAGCATGTCATAATTGCTTTGGATGAGGGACCAAGATGTGCTCGAGGCTCAGAGTATGACATGAAGGCATCCTTTCATGGATAGTACTAAAAGACCAACTGGGACTGGAATGAAGAACAGGGAGAGGGGCAAAGACAGAGGGAGCCACACTTGGGAGGATGAGAAAAATGTCAGTGCACAGGAGCACAATCCCCTCCAGAGTCTCCAAGAAAAATGAATGCGCTCACCAAACTGGTTTATCCAAGCCAAATTGTAGTACTTTTTACATTGAACTTGACAGCATCATGTAGATAGACCCTTTGAAGTCTGCTAAATAGGGAGCAAGGGACATCAAACCTACTGGTTTGATGGCAGTTCTTTTCTAAGTCTCCATATTAGATCGTAACCACTTTGCATTGTAACTGTAACATTGACTCATTCCCTTTTTATTAATTCCTGAGGTGGCAAACTTCCTTTTTAACCTCAATTTTACATACTTCAGCTCCAGTCAAACAAAAGTTTAAATTACATGATAATCAACAGAGCTGTTATTAGGCAAGAAAATTTGGATACAGGCAGTAGTGCAGTAGATTTTGAGAGAAACAGCCCTACCTAAGTCTAGGCTGTAAAACTGTTTAACAAAATTCTAGGAAGTTGATTAAAACAGTAAATGACTTATTTTGAAGAAATCGTTAATGGTCTTTGAAAGTCTTAACAGTCTCCTTTAGAAATATTGCAAATTTATTAAGGGTAGAAAAAACACTAGTGAAATTTAATGTTTCTGCTGTTTCTATAGATTCTGGGTGATCAGGCCAAAGGCTAGAACCTGTTGTGTTTAGAAGCTGTAAAAACTGTGAACAATAGATAGTCCTGCCTCAGAGAGGTTATGATCTGTTTACATGCTCTTCTCTACATCTCAACAAATGTGTAATCTGTATATATGTGTGTTTGTATGTGCATATGTATTGATATGTCTGTGTGCATGCACCAATATATTACAGAATTATTTATCCCCTCCACAAGGATCTGCAACTGATAGATACCAGAAAGCATATTTCTCTTTTGTGCCTCCTGTGCTACCTAATTTTTGCAGCCTTATCCAAATTAGGAATGTTAGCAATTGTAAGCTTTAAGCATTAAAAATAAGTTTTGTTATGCAATTATTGAAAGATAGGTGAGCACATGCTGACATCCGAAGTAAATAATTTCATAACTACTAAAGGATAGAACTATATAACAGCTGAGCACTGGTATTTATATTGCTATGTAACAAGATCAGGACTAATGAGGAGATAGGAGCAGGAGGAGGCACAGCAGTGTTGTATATGTGTTGTGTAGAAACTTATGTTCCAGAAACGGGAGGGCAAGAGGATAATGGCCTATGAAAATTGCATTGGATTAGTGGAGCAGAATTGCAGCATAAGAAAATGACAGCTTGTGGCTAATGTTCCTGCTTCTGCGCTGCTCTTTCGGCTGTGAACATGAATGAATCCTTCCTCTTCTAGATCAGAAGTCATTATTTTGCCTGCTGTCTTGTGTAAAGCTGAACGTGCAGTTTGGTTACATAGACTCTGTGTCCTTCTGAGAATCACAGCCTTAATTTAGTTCTAATAGGATCGTTATCATATGTAATTTAGATAATAATGGATTTGTTAGAACATTAACTTTTTGCAATTGAATAGCTTAAACTAGAGAGAATGTATATTTTATTATCACTAAAGTAAATGAAGTTCTATTGATGACAGTGTCAGACCAGTTTAGGATGTACTTTATTATGCAACCTATTAAAATCCTCATAAAATTAGTAAATGTTGCAGTGCTAAAAGAATTTTCCTCAGGTGGTGTAGACTGAAAATTGGCCAGTCCTCAAAATTTAAAGGATTTACTGGTATAAAGTAACTAATTCTTCTGTTACTCATCTTGTGTGGTTATAGAGCATCCATTTCATCTCTCCATTTTAAACATTATAAGGGATAATCAGCAGGAGAAGAATAGCTCTGACATGATCAACTTCTGGAATTTCCTTCCATTTTTATTTTTAATAGTTCCTACTGGGAAGAAAATAGCCAGTGAATGGTAGTATATATTAGTAAAAAAATTTTCCTTTCTTCTCTTATATGAGGATCACAGATTAAGTCTTTCTTCTGTTTTCTGCTCCAAAATTTCCCCTGTTGAAGAAGCTCAAATATTGAATTGACTTAAAGAAAACTGACTTTCTCTTCTTCATTATCAGGACCACAACGGGATGCACAAGCGGCACGAGAGTTCATCTTGAAGATGTTCGTAGACCTGAATCCAGACAGTGACAAAATTATCTACTCCCACTTCACATGTGCTACAGACACAGAGAATATCCGCTTTGTCTTTGCTGCTGTCAAGGACACGATCCTACAACTAAACCTGAAGGAGTACAACCTGGTCTAACTGTGCCTAGGAGGCCCTCCAAGACCACCTTTGCGTGATTGAAGATATACAAGAGGGACTGTATTATCTGTGAAAACAATTTGCATAATACTAATTTATTGCCGGCCTGGACTCTGTGAATGTCCACAGAGTTTGTAGTTAATATTATGATTTTATTTAAACTATACAGAGGAAAAAAGCAAAAGATGCTGAAGTACATTCACAGCACATTTCCTCATTTTTTAGGCAAAACCTTGTGACTCAATGTGTTTTAAATTCTCAGTCGTACACTCACAAAGGATAGCAGTTTGTTTGCTATTGAAGCAAAGTCAAGCTGGTTTCCTCTTTCCCCGACCCTTTCTCTCCCCCTCCTTCCCCTACCCTCTTATCTTTTTAAAGGTACAATGGCCTTTGTTTCCCCAGTTGCGTTCCTTGGTAAAATATTTTCTGTTGAGTGATCAGGAAAATACTATCATCTGAATTTAAGACATCAGACATTCTAATTTTACAGTATGTACTTTCTCTGAAGGATCAAAAGTATTGATACTGTGATTTTTAAATTCTTGACATGGATGTTTTCATTCTGTCTTCGCTTTTGGAGCTAGAATATTTGCAATTGCAAAATAGAATTACAGTTATGTATGAATTTTAAGTTTAACCATACTCTCGCAGCTCAGAAGGATGCACAGAAGACAGTAATGAAATAATTAGGACACAAACCTGGGATATACGTGGAATATGATAGAATCTCTTTTTAATTGCCATGTGCCAATTTTTTCTCTTTTCTTTTACTCACAAATGCCAAACAAAAATGTCATAGACACTACATTTTCCCTAGTGGCTATAGCCTGAAACAGTGTTTTTTTCAGTTGTGTGGGTTTTTTCTTAAGTTAGAGCTTTTTAAAATGTTTTTTTTCCACAGTAGAAAAATTATTTTTTATTGTATAAGACTAATGTTGCCAAATCTGGCTTTTTATAAAACCGATACTCTTGAAACGTGAGATACTGATTAAAATGCCAAGTTGATGGATTGGGAACTGACCTGGTTGAGTCAACTGCCAAATGATAAACAAACATAGTTTCAGCTCATGTGTTCCCTTTTTTAGAAAGTGTTCCATTTTCTAATGCCAAAAACAACAGTGTGAGTGAATATGCTACTAGGTGCACCATGCACATGCATATGGTCTACTAATTTGAAAACAGTTTAACTCTCTCCTTATGTCAGAGATGGCATGAGATTGCATAGAATGTTTTCTGTGATAATATCAAGGCACCTTTAGTTGTACAACATGAAATTATTGATGAGTGATCACACTCAGGAACCTTTCTTGGTAAGGTTGCTTGTTAACTGATTCACAGACATTTGATAGGCTTTGCGCAAAATAGCCTCTCTCGATGTTCTTTAAAAATAATTATTAATGTACATGAAATGGTGAGAAAAAAATCACTCTAGAAATTTAAATGTGCAATTTTTTTAACAACAAAAATACAGCACACGTTGATGAGCCTTTATTCTGCAGCTTGGGTTGGAAAGTGGTTTTTGACCAGATACGTGATTGCTAGGAAGCTACAGAGAACTCAGAGGTCAGACATGTAATTGGATTGATTATCTGCAATGCTAAGTAGCACTAGAGTGCACTTAACACAGAGATTGCTGCCTCATTAGCCGCAGAGGGGAGGTGGAAAAAAGAATGGCGGGTTAGTGGAGGACCCAAGTTACCCATCCAAAACAACAATAATGAGAACAGTTGCTATTTTTTGCTCCCTAATAAAACACCTTGTAATTTAAAACTGGTTGTAGGTATAGTGCAATTATGAATGCTATAATCATTGTACATACATCTCTCTATATATATATATGGCAGCATCCATATTGGCTTTGTAATCATTAATTTTTGGCAAATTGAATGTGCTGTATTGATATGTATCTATGTAATTGTATTGTATGTCTTATAGCTAATTCACATTTTAAATAATGTTATTTTATTTACTTTTTTAAGAGAGAAGAATGTAAATTTTGTCAGTTTATTTCTGACTAGGGATTTGTTGTTGTTTTTTATTTACAAAACAAAAAAAAACTTACTGTAGTACAGAGCGGTACCAGCATCGTGCTGTATGAAATCATTTGCACATTCCTGAGTAGAAGTAAATTTGAAACAGCCAGAGGACCTTCACATTCAAAACAATGCTTAAATCTTGTCAGGGCTTTACACAGATGTAAAAAATGGTATTGTTAGAACTTATGCCATTTACATCTAGGATTGGAACATAAGCGCTTAAATGTAAACTTAATTTGTATTTGGCAAATTCACAGATTTTACCTTTCTAATAGCCTGTATTAGAAAAGTGAATTTAAAGATATTTCAAACCATTGTGGATAAGTACTCATGGGTACGTTTCCCTAAAAATACCGTGAAGAAATACAGGAACGTCAGGTCAATTAAACAGTACTTCAGAAACTGTAGATCTAACAACAACAACAAAAAAGTCACTAGCATTAACAGGTTTAAGGAGTCAGAGCATTTTATTTATAAAGCTAAAGCAGGTAGATGTAGGTTATAAAAAGTGACACTGACATTCTAAGTAGGTGATCAGAGCAGTTAGTCTTGTTATATATGGCATTATAAAATTGGTCCTGATCTCGCTATAAACACAACAGAGCTTCTGTTTCCACTGTTGACTCTGGGATGCGTGATAGTATCCCTTCTTGTAACCTGGGAATAGATTGGCCACCTTGGATTCAGTGATATAAATAGAACTGTAGCAAAAAAAAAAAAAAAAAGGGAAAAAAAAAAGCAAAGATGCCAGTGGTATCTAACAACAGTTTGGGGATTTTTTGATTTTGTTTTGTTACGGGATTTGGGGGGGAGGGGGAGAAGGAAATGTGGTTTTAAGTTTTGTATAAAAACAAAGCAAAAGTTTACTCATGCTTTATAGTTATATTGTGATTGCAAAAGTTTTCAAGAGTGTGTGCCACTGGGCTACTTCTGACATATTTTAGGTAAGTTGAACCTGTGGCAGTGTTTAGATCATCTGAGCATGTTCTGAAAAAAAAAATATTCAGCATGCCAAGGCAAGCTTTACATGAATCACCTAACACAGCATTGCAGTGTGACAGTTTACAAAAACATTTCCTTTTTAAATGACACAGCTGTTCCCACTTGCAATATATTCCGTTGTTGTTGTCGTCATTATCGTTGTTGTTGTTGTTCTCGTCGTCGTTTTAATTGGTGATTTCTATTATGCCTTATAGTGCTTGAGTCCAGAAATTTGTGCCTCTAACATGAAGCTGAAGGCAAAAACTAGAAGACAGAAACCCTTTTAATTTTGCCAAAATTATGTGATGTCATTGAATGTCATAAATGGAGGAGGAGGGAAGGAAAACGTCTTGGGAACCTGTGTATTCTAGGTGTTCACTAGCACAAGAAAGCTGTAATATGTGTTTTACAGAAACCTTAAACTTGCCTTTTTCACAAATTAACTGGCACTGTCCTGACATACATAGGGTGATGCAGCTGTAAGGGCAGTTTACTTTTTATAATTCAGACTCTTTGATTGTCAAGGTGTATGAACTGTAATTTTTAATCATACTGCCACATGATTGTGAATCACTTTTTTAAGTTTGAAAGTGGAGAAGAGACTTTTTATGCTGGATATCAGTCAGAATTGACTGCATGATTTGCAAAAACTTTAAATGGGGGGAAAAGGGCTGCATATAGAGACATTGCTAGACTCCCAGCCTTTGGTTGTGAGGTGCAAAAGACTTTCAGATTACTCAACCTAATGACCCTTCCCTTGTGATGCATTCTTTACAAAAGAATGAAATAATAGAAAACAGAGACATGTTAACCCATGTGAAAAAATAAAATTTATCCAAATAATTTATTATATGTGCTGCTGTTCTTGGAGCTCTGTGCATGGATATCCTGCATACTATTACATTTAGTAAACTAATGAAGTGTGCACAGTATATTAACAAGGCCTACAAGTGACCTACCTCTAGTTAAGAAACCAGTAAAGTAAATACGTTTTGGATACCGTCATGAAGTTAGAAAATTAAAATGGCCTGTTGTAGGCTATTAACTACTGTATTTTAGACATTAACCCTTTTGTAAATATAGTCCCTTTTTTTGACATAAATCATAAATTCTAAAATTTGGTATGCATTGAACAATTAAGGTCATCTGCCCCTGTCCAATTTTTTCTGGTAGAGGTTTTGCAAAACCATATGTTTTAGTTTGGTAAGAGGAGCCACTGAATCTCTTGTTTTTGGTTTAATTTACCCATAATATTTTGAGTTGTATCATCCAAAAAAGAAACATTTTGATATAATCAGTCACCCAATGACGCTCATTATTTAGCTAGCTAAAGGGATTTTATTATAACTTTCACTCACGCTTTTTCACAGTAGCCATGCTGCAGAGAAGGGAGGACTAGAGGAGTTATTTGGGCAAAGTGAATATTGAAGATAGTGTCAAAAATACATGATAAAAGCCAGATCAAACTTACTGTAAAGCTGTTGGGTTTTTTTTTTTCCCCTCAAAAAGTAGTCTAAACTGAAGTCTATTGCTGGATTCCTCATTTACCATGCTGCAGGAAATCCTTACCTCACCAATATATTTGGGGGGGTAGTCAGATACAGTTTTAAACTTGCAGTATTTAAAAAATAAAGATCATATTTGCTATTCTTAAAATGTGATTAAAATGCATGTATTGTCTATTGTTTGGGGGACATGAGTAGTTTTTTGGGGAAAAAATGTTGTATAAATACTGCCCCTCGAAAGTCTTACTGGTTAAAAATACAGTATTTTTGGCCATAACTTTGTACTATAGTATCTTATTTCCTTGAAATATAACTTTTCTGAAATATATTTGGATTTACTGCTCTCCCAGAACATTTCATGCTAGGATAAATATTGGATAGATATTTTATTCCAGTGATTACTTTTTTAATTACATATGCTCTGTCCTCATTGTCTAAATACTAAAATTTCCAGAATATCTTTATTACAGCCAGAAAGTTCAAAGCATTTCAGGCTCAGTACAGTGGAGGCAGTCATTTGAAAGTATTGCTAAAGATTTTTTGACTTGTGTACAATCAACTCAGAAGCAGAGGGGGAAAGAAATAATAATCGATGTCTCATTAATAGAAAACTTTCAGGATTTGTAGACTGTGAGGTGAATTTCTTAAGTGTTTTGGTGGATTGCAGCAGTACTGCAAGAAAAGACTGTTTATATTACCTTTTTTTTTTTTTTTTTTTTTTGCTTGCTCCAGGGATCGGGGGAATAACAGAAAGATGCCTATGTGTTGCTTTTCAGGAGTCTGGCTCATATTTGAACACCAATCAGTGGATCTCACATCTTCATTACTGAAAAATTACAATTTCAGGCCACTTGCAAAAATTGATTTCTTCTCTGTTATGTGATAACAACAATTTAAATAAGATTCTTGGAATCCAAATAATTTGTCTAAGTAAAGACTTCAATGAATTGCTATTGATTTTTCTTTCCTGTTGCAGAACGTAAGAGAGAGGGATCAGTGAGGAAGGGCTTATGTTACCTTTATGTCTCAGTGAGGATAATGTCAACAAAAATATAGTGTAAGTTGTGATATTTAGATATGTGAAATAAATTTAGGAACTGTATCTGTGTGTTAAATTGTGCACAGCCGTGATATAAACTTAGATTACCTGCCATCAGCTGATTGCCAAACCGTTTTGTACTGCACAGTCCTAAGCAGCTAAGAGATTCCGAGTATGCCTGCTCCTTTCAACAGCAGGGAAGTTTCACACAGCGGCTGACCCAGGCTGGTAGCTCACTTTTGCCAAAAGCAGCTCTCCTGTTCCTCTTCAGCTGCTGGGTCTCAGCTGCAAGGTGCTTCCTCCCCCTCCCTGGTGTCACCTCAGGCACTTGGTGAGCCAAGGAAGTGTGAGGAAAAAACACTCATTTTTGCTCTTCTTGTGTTGCTGGTTTAGTAGCCTAATTTTCAGGGTTTTCAGCCAATTTGGCTAATCAACAGTTCAGACAAGTGCCAGGCTGACTAAAGAGGCAGGCTTAGAAATTAGGTAAAAGGGAGTAAGACTCCATTTAAAACCTAATTCCTGAAATTGTTAGGAGCAACAGTGAATGATATCTAAACCCTTCATTTGATGCACTTCGTGTCCTCTTAGCTATTCTGGCTTGGGAGGATTGCCCTTTTCACTTTGAAAGGTTTTGATTTCATTTTTTATTCTGGAAAAAAAAAAATTGTAGGATAAGGAAACTCTTTTCTGTTCCCGTTTAAGAGTAACATGTAAAATCAGCTTAAACCCAACCGTAGTCAGACTGAAGACAACAACTCATTCTTGATTTTAAGGATGGAGATGTCTAGGAATTGTACTTTTATTCATCTCACAGAAAAAATGAGTTACTGTTCATTGCCAGTGAGATCATAGAAAGAAAAAAAGTCTGCCTTCTGAAGATTTTGAAAATCCCATGGCACTCTACGTGACATTCAAGGTTCACTGTAGCCTTGTCTAAAGCTCTCCTTCCTTCTCCTATAACGTTTGTCTGTCACACTGATTAATTGCTTCCTGCCATCTAAGGAACACAATTTTACAGTAGTGTTTTATGTATATACTTTCTGGTATACTTTCTGATCCTTCTGAATTAAGTGTAAATTGGTCTTCTAAAACTGAACGGATGAAGCATAAGGCAGCCAAAGACTAGCACTTTTGGCTTA